CCTCAGGCTCCGATAGCCCTTTCACGCCCCACGGGAGAGGAAAACAAAGGTTTCTAAGCTTAAGGGCTCTGGGCTACCCTCTGACTCACTCAGGCTAGTTTGCTGGAAAGCAAGCAAAACAAAGGAACGGCTAATCTGTGCAGACTATATCCATTGCTCCAGTTTCCAATTTCAGACCGCCAGGCCACCCTCTCCACACTAGGCACTTCTCTTACATAAAAGTCTGTCAGCTAGAGCATCATTCCAACATGAAATCGAAATAGGCACCGTCTTTGGAGAGGTTAGGGTTGGGGTACAATTTGTGAGGATGGAAATTGTGTCTCCATCGGCGGGGTACCCCTAGGCTTTTGTTGGGAAAGTTCATTAGGCATCTTCTTCCTTCTCTACACCCTCTTATCTAAACAGTTGCTGGTTATAAAATGATTAGGACACGATGCTCTAAAAACAAAGCCAGGCCAGCGTCTCTTGTCGCTCAGCTTGTGGAAAAAGGGAGGCTGGCTGGGCGGCCAGTAGGGGGCACCCGCAGCGACCTCTGTGCAGCCACTCTGGTGGCAACAAGGCCAGCCCCGGCCTCGGAGTCAGGGAGCAGCTGCAGTTCTCAGCTTTGAGATAGACTCGCTGTAGGCTTTGCGTGGCTCTGCTGCCGCTACAGAACTGTACTATTGTTACCGTCCGCGCTGCCAGGTATAAGTGGCGATGACCCAGCTGGGTTTGGAGTCGCCGCTGTACCCTGTAGGCAGGCGGGTAGCTCTGCCTACTGGGATGCATCCAAGGAATTCCAGGCTGCATCTGCTGGTGGAATGGACAGGTGCCTTCTGAGCATGCCCTGGGGTTTGTTTCTGTTGGGTGTCCTCCCTGCCTGCGCAGACCACAAGGTCACCACACAGCAGCCACCAAACCTCGAGCCTCATCAGCAGGCTTAGCCCACTCCAAATTAGCAGCGCCAACTGTCGCCACAGGCATACCTCTCAGCCCCCCTGCACTTCCGCTCTTGCAGGGATACGTGGTCCCCAGTGATGATTGCACAAAGGCGATTATTGTCCCACATCCTCGAGGGAACAGATCAAGGCTGTGAGAAGGGTGTCACACAGCCTTCTGGTGACTGTCCCAAGGCCTTTTGATTTCACAACCGGCTGGTGTGTGTGTGTGTGTGTGTGTGTGTGTGTGTGTGTTCTCAGTCCGCTACCCCAACGCACTCCCACCATTCATCCTGGGCGGGTATGGCACTCTCGGTTGCCTCCCGATAACAGGTCATGCCTTAGCCATGCTGGGAGGAAGCCTTTCCAGGCCTTGACCCCGGGCTCCCAGGCGGACACGGTCGGTCGCGCCCCGCAGGCCCTTTGTTCGTACCGCAGCGGGCTAAGAGCAGCTGCAGCCCTCGGGAGCCGCAACTGCTCAGCAGAGCAACGAAAGCGGTGCGGCGTCTGGTCTCCTACTCTAGAGCCCGGTAGCCTTTCTGGCTCTGGGAGCTCCCACGCCAGTCCTGGCCTCTCTCTCCACCCAGAAATCTTCGGGGATTGATTGAAGAAGTGTGGTTCCTAGGGTCTACCCTAGCACTCTTGCCTGGTTCCCGCGGCCCAAAGAGGCACGGGGACCTCTGAAATGTCACCGGTCGGGATAAATATTAACAAAAAGCAAATGGACGTATGCGGGGGCCAGTTATCAATCAACCACGCGGCAAGGCCACTCACAGCAAACACAGCCCAGATTGGGTTGGGCAAGACTTTCTCAGGGCCACCTCCAGGAAGAACACCTTCAACCCCCTCTCACCCTCAGCGGAGGTCTTCTTCAAACTCAGTGGCGCCAATACCCGACCGCAAGGGGGCGAAGTACCGGTGCTGCCGGGCTGGCCACCTTCTCGCAGGGCTCAGGAAGTCTTCTGGCCTTCAAGTTCCGCAGGGTCTGCGTGCCCAGCACCCAGCCTCGCCTGGGCTGAGGCCTGAGCGCCGCCGCCTCCTGGGTGCAAGGTGCTAGAGTCGCGCCCAGTGGTGGCGCATTTTGCAGTCTCTTCCTGAGCTGGCAGCTCCCGGCAGGCGGCCAAGCCTTCTGGAATATTTAATTGAAAGCTAATCTCCTCCGGTCTTGATAGGCGCCCACGTCAGAGGCGGGGCACCCAGCCCAGCCTCCCCACCCCACTCGGGACCAGACGCGGCTTTGCATCCGGTCACGCTACATTTTAATGAGCAGCAGCGAGCATTACGTTGAGGGGACATGCATCGATTTTTAAAAGGTAGTTAATTTGGTGAGAATTTCCTCCTGTCGCCCATCTTCCACCAGTGCTTGTAAATTTCGACACCAGAAGGCGCTTCCCCAAACACACTGCTAAGTGCGGAGGATTTTGACCCTCCACAATTAGCTGTGGGGAAGACACCGAGAGGAACGAGTAAAGGAACGAGCTGGGTCCTTACAAGGGCGTTGAGACAAAATTGGGGTTTAGTCTTCCGCGCAGCAGCTAGCAACGCTGCAGGGGAAGCCGACCCAAGCTAACATTCTGCAGCTGCCAGAACCTAAGCACCTGGCAGTCCGGCCTCAGACTCCAACACCCCGGGCCAGACAGGCACCATTTGGAGGGTTCAGAAACCGACTTCTCTTAAGAAAGAAAAAGGAAAAAGAAAATTAACAAGCCTGGCTGGCTTCTCTTTAGTGACTTCAAATATGTTCTGGTTCTTGGGACAGGATGGAACAGCTCCCCGTTCCTTGCCATGAACCTCCCTCCCCACTTCTAGCCCTCACTTCAGACTTAGACCCAACCCTTTTCTTTAAGTTAAAGAAACAAAAAATGAAAGAGGTGATGCTTCACTGTCTCAGGACACTGAGTATCCTTGCATTTGGTGTCCTGCTGGAGCCTCTTATTTTCCACCTTTTCCTAGGAAAATGCCTCATGCCTGGAGCCAAGAATAACAGGGCTGGCCACCTGGGCCTAGGTGTGTAGACAGACTGCCCTTCAATGACCTTCTGGGTCCCAAGAGGGCCTTGCTCAGCATCCAGCTGGTGCCTCTGCTGTGCAGGGCCTAGAACTTGGGCTTTTCCCACCAGGCTCACCAGCAGCAGCACCCCCTTCCAGCTCAACTTTCTTTTCTCTGGAGGTCAGAGGGCACTTGAACAGGATAGGGTGCAAGGTCGGGTTTCCGGTGCTCAGAGGTCATCTCTGTACAGGACCTATCAGTTTGTCTTTGGGGAGGTGGTGGTGGCAGCAGTGTTAGAGGTGTCTCCAGAGTCTGCAGAATATTCACCAGTGGAGGATGGAGACTGTCCAGAAGGAACAGGCTTCTTTTCCAGCTCTTTTCCTTGTCTCAGCGCCTGACACCCTCCCTAGCCTCAGAGTATGTAAGGTTAGGCTTCAGGAGTGGGCCCAGCGGAAGCCCCTGGAGGCACAGCAGTAACCTCTGCTGCCCTGGGGGGTCTTTGTCAGCCCAGCTAAGGATACAAGGCTCCAGCATTCAGTGCTGGAGAGTGCAACCGCCAGGACTCGGGTTTCCAGGAGCCTTCCCCTGAGCCTCTCCTCTCAGTCCCCTGGTCTCTTGCCTCTCTGGGCACCTGTGTGTGGACAGCAGGAAGCCTGGGTTGAGGACTTTGGGGCAATGGAGAATGAACTAGGCAGGAAAATCTGGTGGAACAGAGGTGGTACACATGACAGAAGGCCTCTAGCCCCCGGATGCAGGGACGCTTGGGGTCGCCTCTCCTGGTTAGGATCACAGGCTGGCCAACACCTGCCTCCCCCTAGCTTCTCATTGGCAGGCACCGGGTGGGGGGAGGGGGTTCGGCCTCACGCTTTGATTTTAGACTGTGAAACGGCTCAGTGCCCTCGGCTCTGAGCGGATTGACTGTCTCTCATTCTCTAGGGACGAATTAATGGAGAACGATCAGTTAATTAACAAACCCTCATCCCAGCTTTTACCTTTCTCTTCACGGAGACTCAGACCTGGGCTGAGATGAGGCTGGGGGAGGGAGGGACGCCGACACTGGAGTCAGTCAACCGGGCAACCTTGGCCTAGGTCTCATTAGCAAGTCCTCCTCGACTGCCCTTTTCTCAAGTCTTCAAGGGTGCCTGAAATCCCACGTTCAGTACCGGCTGGATTTAGCTGTCCACTCGGCGCTCTGGGGGAGCCAAGCCCGCTGCCTGCCCTTCGACAACACCGAGGTTTCAGGGCTCAAAAATCAAACAGTGGGCTAGGGGTTTTTGAACCTGGAGACCTCGGCTTGCTGGCTTGGGGTGGGGGGTGGGGGTTTTACAAAGTCCAGCGCAGGGACTCAAATGAGAAATTCCGAAGATAGTTAAAGTGTCAAGTCCTAAGCAAGCCGGCAACGAAGGTGGTCCCTGGGCTCCACCCGGAGCTCCACTGGGCCTGGTCACTGTCTGCCTCTGTACCTCTCCTTTCCACAGCGGGTTACACCCGCGCACCCAGAGTGTGATAATCCTTTCGCCGCAGCCCGCCACGCACACACAGCCCCACAGGTTTGGGATCTTTGTACATTCTTAAGTGAGGCTCCCGGGAAACTCAGCGTCAAACAGAACAGCGCAGGAATGGGTCACCGCGACAAACTCAGTCACACACTAACTGGCAGCTCAGCCTCTCTAGCCCAGGGGTTGGTATTTGCCTTGGGGCGAGTTCCAGACTTGCTTTGCCGCTTCTTAAACCCGGAGTGCACGACTGAGAACCACGCACCCAGCGTACCGAGCCAGGTTCCAAGATTGTCTAGGTCTGCGACTCAAGACCTTCCAGCTCTGACCCGGATCGCAAAAGTGACCCCGCAGCCGCCGAGGCTGCGTGCTTCCATTCCCGTAGCCTCCCGTAGCCCGACGCACTGAGCCCCTGGAGGAAGAGGTCCGCTACCCGGGCGGTGTGCTGGGTCTTCCAGGTCTAGGGACACTCCTTTCAGGAAAGGAGCAAGACAGACAAGGTGCTGCTAGCCTTGTCCCGTTCCCTCGTTCCCTCCCACCTTCAGTCCCTTAGGTTTCCTGGTCTCTTATCTCGCCCACGCGCCCAACGCTGGCTCACCTGCTAAGCGGAGCGCTGACATGCGCTGGAACTCGGGCTCCTGCAGCCACTTCCACATCCTCCGAAAGGTCTCCCGGCCGGACTTGAGTTTGCTCCAGGGTTTGGGGTTGCGCAGCAGGTCCGAGAGGGTCCCCTGGGAGCGGCAGAGCACCCTCTGCGCGAAGATGGCCTGTGGGATGCTGTAGCGTTTGAGCTCGGTGGTGATACGCTGCGCCACTTCTTTGGTATTGATCTCTTCCATCTGCCCTGAATTAGTTCCATTGCTGACCTGCGCGCCGGTCACCGAAGGGTTGGGCTCCCGGGCTGTGCCCAGGAGCTGTCCGTGGCCTTGAGCATTCAGGTGGGCATGAGGATGGTGCGGAGGAAGGCCGTTGATGGGTACCATGCCGGCCGAGGTGGGCGTGAGGTGCTGTTCCCCGTGGCGGCCCAGTATGGCCGGGTGGTGGGCTTCAAAGCCATTAGGGGTGAGCATTTTGTCGGTGGGCATAGCCGCGCCGGGGTGGGCATAGTGGGGAAGCCCTTGCTGGGAGTTGTGGATGCCACCCAGACCGGAGCCGGAGAGGGGCGAGAGACTCTGGCCCATGCTAGCCACGTCCTTGTGGTAGGGTGTATAGAGGTTGTTCATGGAGGCCAGCCCGCGCTCATCCCGCATGAGCGTAAAACTACCGCTGACGTTACCCGCCAGGCGCTGGTGGTGGTGCGGGTGGTGGTGATGGTGGTGGTGGTGGTGGTGGTGGTGAGGGAACTTGTCAGACACGGTGGAGATGGGCGGCAGCGGCTGCAGAGGGGTTAAGGTGGTGTAGGTGGTGGGCATGCTCATACCTGGAGGAGTTTCACAGGCCATGGTCATGGTAGGGTGTAGGGGGCCAGCCAGGCTGTGTTCAGGGGCGCGGTGGTGGTGGTAATCGCTGCCTCCGCCGCCGCCGTCCAGCAGGGACGCCATGCCCATAGAGCGCGGGTGCGCGGGAGCTAGGTGGCTGCCGCGGTGCGCCACCGAGCTGCGCGCGTGGGGGCTGCCGCCCAGCAGGTCGGCAGGGGCGGGCACCGGCTCATGGCTCACCCCGTGCAGCTCGCCGATCGCCTCCATGGTAAGCTGCGCGTTCATCGTGCTGCGGGCGAGCGGACTGCAACATCGATGTGGCCGGGCAGAGGCGGCCAGGGGCGCACTGAGTCCGGTCTTCACATCGGCTGCCGGCGACTGTTGCCTTTCTTCCTCTCACCGTGGGGCTCTGCCTCTGTGTGTGTGTCGCCTTCTCTCTTGCCCCCACCTTCCCCTCAGCGTCCTCGGCTTTTTTTTTTTTTAATATTAATTTCCAAAAAGGATCCGCGCCGTTGGGAGAGAGCGCTGCCCCTAGCCCGCCCTGCCCTGCCCACTCTCGCCCCTCTCCTTAGAACCGTGCGGCCCCCAGCTTCCCTGACGCGGCCCGTGCGCCTGCTGCGGCTGCTGCCTGCCCGCGCAGCTGGCCAGCTCGAGCCATGGCTCGGTTACTGTTGCAGACTGTGGCGGCGATTCTGTAGCGGCCGCGGCTGCCGGGGCCAGCCCTCACGCCCGCCGGGCGCAGCGCGCACGCGCGCGGCTAGGCCCCGCCCCTCGTCCCGGGCGCTCTGGGGCCGTGACGTCCCAGTACAAATGAAGGAGGGGGCCGTGCACTTTCTTCGTGGCGCGCGGTGGCCCGGGAGCGGTGCGCACGTGCACAGGACCCGCGCAGAGCGCGAGCTGGAGCCGCCGCCACAGTCCCCAGAGACTGGCTCCGGGTCGTCTCCCTTGCTCGGGGGCTCTCTGTCTTCCCAGCCCGGGACACTTCTGCCGGGCTCCCATTACCGTGGGAGAGCTAGGCTTAGAGAGCCACAGCCCCTCGGTCGCCAGTGGTTGCCCCCGGTGCAGGGTGCCCGCGGCTGGGGACCGTGCCGCTCGCTACCCGCTGCACGCTGGCCTATTGAGCTTAATTTACTGGAGGGTTGCTGCAAGCGGGCGCCTTCCCCATCCTTAAGTGCTTGGCCCATGGAGTTGTGGATACCCGGAAGGCCTAGGGCAGCTTGGCCGTTGTTGAACTGGCACTCTTCCTCCTCCTGGATACTTTCTGTCCATCCTTCTTCATCGGACCCCTGGGCACTGGCGTTCTGTGCTCAGAGTCCGGATCCCGGCTACACCTCGCGGTCCTGGCCACCAGCGTCCTCCGCTAAGCTCCTAATTAAGGCAGCACTCAGCTACTGGTGGTGGCATGGGGGGAGGTGAGGGAGAGGAGCGGGAGGGCCCTCGTGGGTTCCCGGGGTACCTCCGAGGGCTATGGGCCACCGAGACTCTTATCTTGGGTTCCTCCATAGCGATTCTAGAAAAGCACCCAGAGGCGGCCGCTGGGGAGAAGCAACGACGACGCAGGCTCGGGTCTAGGCTAGGTCCGCAGGGACGCGCTCTCCCTCGGCGTCCCTGTGAGAAGCCTCCAGATTTTAAAATCAATTCAGCTTTGGGCATAATTGCGCCTTCTCACAGTCACGCTCCAATCCGGAATTGAACCTGGGCCTTCGGCCTGGTGGGGACGCGTGGGGAGGCCCCCAGTGAGGGACACACACTCGGCCGCCACATGCCACGGCGGCTTTCTTTTATTTACAAAAGAAAGAAAGAAAGAAAAAAATCCGTAACAAAAGGCAGAGCCTTGTCTGCTTACGTGCTTTTATCCCTCGGAGAAAGGACAGATGTGCCCATTGTCAGATCCTTGGCAGTTACGGCCCGGGTCAGCGCCGACCCTCAGCCCGGGGCTAGCAGTGCTCACAATAGGGATAGCCTCTCAGACCCGAGTTTCAGGGCTCAGTTTTGGAACAAAGTATTTGTGGCTTGTTCTGGGCCGAGTGTAGATTTGAAGGTTTGTTTGCTAGAACTCTGTCTGGAGCTCACCACCTGTGTTTGCTCTGTGCAAGTTTCCAGACTCAGGAAGAGGCCAGGGTTGATGATGGTAGTAGGGTGGTTGGGTCTATGAGAAAAGTTTCCCCGGGAATCACCCTGGAGGGAAGTCCCCACCAGTTAAGGCACAAACAGGCCCATTTCTTAGCCCAGGTCCCTGCCACCATCAGCAGGTCAGTCAAGGTCAGTGGGTACAAGAACTGTGTTGAGCTCTGGGACTGACTAATCTGATTGAGTTTCATCACTAGAAACATCCCTACCCTTTCCAAAAACAATGTGTGTGGTGGCTGTGGAAATGAGGGTTCCTCTCAATGTATTTCATGCCTGCTTGGTCATGAACAGTCAGGAATTTGCAACTCACCCCCACCCCCACCCCTCAGCGGAAAAAGCTCTTGGGAAAAATACACTGACCAAAAGCAACCCAGGAAACAGAATTACTCTGTTTTAATTTATTTTTTAATCTGCTACTTCAGATATATACAAGCATATTTTCTATCTAGTGGATCAGCTTTATGGCCTTCTCCCCTCATTCCCTCCTTTCTTTGAGACAGGGTCTCACTATGCAGCACCAGTTGGCCTAGAATTTAGAGAGATCCTGCTGCCTCTGCCTTCCAAGTTCTGGGATTGAAAGGGAGTGCTGAATCCCTGGGTCTTTATTGTCTTTGAACTCTTCCTGTAGTACAGAGTGCTAGTCTCTATTCATAGAAGATGAAGCAATGGGTCAAAGCAACCTTTGAGCTGCACTGTTTCCCCCACTGCATTTTAATCTCTTTGAAATGATTGATCTGCCCTTATGGCTATCTCGAAAGACAAGAAGTTAAAAAGAAGGAAAGAATATGACCAAGTGAACAAATTGTTCCTGGTTTTCTCTTCCAGTAGTTAGGGATTTGATCCTGGAAGCCTTCCTTTCATGGACACTTCTGAGTGAGCCCCTGGAGGCCGCTTGAAGAGGGCTGGACTCATGAATTCAATTCTGCCGATTCCTTGAGGAAGCTTATTTCAGGTTTGGTCCCTAAAGAAGGGAAAGAAAGATCTAGAGGAATGTGTGTTGGGCTTGCTCAGTACAATGTTTGACATCCCCCTCTGAAAAAAACATTTCCAGAAGTGGCCTACAAGACTTGGTTTGGGACTCTCCCACCTCCTTCCTCTTTCACACCTTTTATGAGTTGCAGTGATTTCTCAGAGCATTTCTTCTTACTAAGGATGCTGGGTTGGAAGGATGCACTCCTTAAGGAGAGTATGCACAGAGGGTGCACGGAGAGATTGTCAAATGCTGAGACAAGTTATTTTTTTGTTGTTTTTGTCTTCTTTTCTTCTCCTAGTGCCCAACATAAAGCCTAGAACCCTTAGAAGAAAGAATTAGAGTCCAGGGAGGAATTCCTTGCAACTAGGTAGGTAAATGTGCAAGGTGGAGGGGAGGGATTACAGAAAACTTAAAGGAAGAAATAGTGTCAATCAGTACAGAAGACTGTATTAAATAAAAGGTAAGGTTTTTTTCAAAAAAAAAAAACAAAACAGGGATGCTACCAACTGGATGCTTGTTGCTAGATTTTCAGTGTGGAAACAACTTTGTACTACTGGAGACTGAACCTAGAATGTTGAGCTGGACAAGGGCTCCACCCCTAAAGTTTATTTTGTAAAAGCATAAGAGCCTGTGGGTAGGCCAGGGTGGGTAGGTGCAATCTTCCTCTGCTAGACAGGCTGAAGTTTGCCAGGCAATCCCATCAGATTTAGAATGAAAAAAGAGGGCCAGTCCTGTAAATGCTGGCCCCTCAAAGTTCTCTAAGAACCTTCCATAGGGTCTACAGAGTTAATACCTTACTTAGTTCTCTCTTTGAGCAGTAGAGATGTAACATATGGGCCATTTAAAAGAAATGCTTCTAGGCGCTCTGAGCCATCAAATGCTTAGTCTCTTTTTGTTGGCTAACAGTCTTCAGGGTTCTGAAAATGTCCCCATCCAGGGCTCCAGGGTGAGAAGGACTCTTTGGCCACAGCTTAGAAAGGAGATCACCAGCACTTTGGAAGCCTGTGGAGTCTAGAATGAAACAGGAGGAACAATACACGTCAGAGCTGGCTATAGGAGAGCCTTTGCTACCTGGGGCAAAGTATTTGATTCTAGATCCTTCTGCGGGGTTTTCCTGCCTTTCTCAGGAATCTTTTCACCTCTGAAGAAATTTTATTCTGAAAATCGATTTTGGCTTAGATTAGACAAATTTAGAAGGAAGTGGCCTGGTGAAGTACTATTGGAAACTGAGGAAAGATGGTAAGAGCCACAGGAACAAGAGTCTTGCTGCAGAAATGCATTCTAGATATGAAAAGGAAGCCACACCCATGGAATCTTCACAGTATGCTAGCCTAACAAGATCTGCATAATGTCAAAAGCAGCTGACAGGCCAATGTGGACGAAGGAAACTTCATGAGGTCCCATCTCTAGAAGAACAACAGACAATCAATGGCTGCTGAGGGAGGGAGAATCAGTTTTCTTTAGGTACTAGCTCCCTGAGAGATTATCTAATCTCAAGTGGTCAGCACTTAACAAGTACACACAAGCACCACTAAATGGGCTCAGTACATCATATACATATATATGTATGTGATGTATGTGTAACAATAGTAAAGAAGAGGATAAGAAATTGGGGGGATGTGGGAAGAATTGGAAGGGGAGCTGGGAGGGGTGGAAATGATACAAATATAATATTCAGGGATGGAATTCTCAAAAAAGTGTAAAAACTGAACAAATTAGTTCCCAGGCTGGGAGTGTAATTGGGAGGTAAAGCCACTGCTATGTGAGAGGACCCCAGTCTCACCCCCACAAGGAAAAGAAACTAGTGAGGAAATGGGAACTCATATTTCTAGCGCACCTTTCCAAGTCTTTGTTCTTGTATTTATCCTTTATACAGTTTTAGTCATCTGTTTGATTACCTTTCTCCCTTGTTCTTCTGAAATATTGTTTTCCTCATGACAAAGTTTTTAAACTCAACGTTTTTGCACCTCCCTCTTAGTCCTCCAAATCCTCCAAGAAGACTCCTGCGCAAGAGCATTCAGCTTCCCCCAACCCCACCTAACTCCCAGTTCCAGGAACTGCACGGACCTGCACAGTAGTGGTCAGTCAGAGATCTGACCACTTCCCAAGCATCTTGGTTACTTCCTGGGCAGAGGAAAAACGCCCTTGCTCTTGCTGGGACCTTGGGAGAACTAAAGGCCACCCTTCTTCTGGGTTGAAAATGGCCCACTTTGGCGAAGGCTCTTCAATTTTTCAAGTCAAAATCACCGAGGAAGAAGGGGGTGTTTGGATGCTGTGGGATGGAGGGAGAGGCTCCATGGTCCAGGCTCCTGGGTGACAGGTGGCAGGGCAGGTGCTGGACACGGTCAGCCTGGCTCCGGGGAAATGGGCCTCCTGTCGTCAATCCTTCAGTGGGTGTTTTTCTTGGTCGTGATTTTGAATTATCGAAGGAGGCGGCCAAGATTACTGTCCAAGATTACTGGGGAGGCAGCGATTTTCCGGGTTTGGGGCAGTGGTGAACACTCCTTTTCCGGCCTCCTACTTTGGAGGTCTGCGCTGGATTATCAGCAGCCAGAGGGTGGTGGAGAGTGCCCGGCTAGGAATTGGAAAGGACAGGGGTGAGGGAGAGGACCCTGGCATTGGTCCCATTCAAAGCAACAGAAAGTATACAGGGTGACGTGAATCAGCCATAGTCTATTGCTGCTATTCTTTCCCGCTGTGGAGAGACTTAAAGAGTGGAAGTCACTAGTCACCTCACAGCAGGAAGCCTCCAACTACCAGGGCTTAGACCCTCCACCCCAGTCCATTGCCACTTGCCAGGCTCAAGCCGACTTGGTGAGCTCCGTGGTCGCCGGGCAACGCCGACGCAGGCCCAGAGCAGCTGCACTTGGGAAGGAAAACTCTTTAAACAAATCATTTTGGTGTCTAATCAATTAGTGTTTGCGCAGTCAAGTACCATAGATTTAACAGAATAATCGTTACTGCCCTTGTCTTTATTTGACCCACAGACACCTAGAAGATTTAAAAATTAAACGCAGGTGTTCTGAGCTCCCATCCCTTAGCGCCTCTCCCGGGCCTCCGGGTTTGGCTTTTTGCTTTCTTCAAATGGAGCCTCATCTTTATTCTTCTTCCCCTTCGCTCTTAAGATACTTCATTTTTTTTTCTTGTCCTTCTGTCCCAGTCGGCCTTTCACAAATCAGTCTGCCCCACCCTCGTTGCCAGCACAAGAACCAGACATCTGGTCGCAGACCCCGGGACTCTGGGCGCCAGGCCTTTGGCCTGAGCGCCATCCAGGCATAGGATTATGGACTCGCCAAGAGTCTAGTAGTCCTCGCAACCACCTTCCTACCCTTGCCCTCCTGCCCCTTTCTGAACCTGTCCATGCCGGGAGTGGTCTTGTGCATGCCGGTTAATTTCGGTGGAGCTGTGAAAAGAATTTTTCACATGCATGGTGGGACTTGCACGCCTTTAGGGTCTTGCCCCTCATTGTAACCACTTGGGTTGTATGTGGGGGGGGTGAAAAAAGAAAAGGAAGAGGACAGCATTGCTACTGAACCCACCACCTGGGGCTGGGAAGTAGGGAACGCCCAGCCTGCCAGAGAGAGGAGAGAGAGGGGCCAGCCCAGGTTCTCTCTCTCTCTCTCTCTCTCTCTCTCTCTCTCTCTCTCTCCCCAATTCAGATGGTTGCTTCTCTGGACCTGGCAGATCCCAAGATCCATGGGGAGTTCTAGAGGGTCCCCAGGTGTTTTCCTCCCCACCTATGTCTTTTACAGGTCTCACAAGCATGGACCCATGTGTATGTGTGCATGTTAATGTGAGTAGGTACATCAATGCTTTGCTCAGGGAGTCTTCATGCATGAAGTTTCAGAGGGTTGAAGAGATGGTCAATAGAGCCAAGAAATTTGGAGGTGTGGCTCTGGGGGAACATAGATATATGGGCGAGAAACTTTGGGAGACCCAGGTGGTCAAAACACCTGCATTTCCCTTTGTTCCTCTGATAAATTAGGGGAGCAGGGAAGTCCAGGGTGAGGCTGATGCACCTGGCTTGGGGTTTTGTTAAATACCAGGCTGTAGTTCTAAAAGGAGCCACCTCTTCCCTCTGTCTCCAGATGGCCCAACCCAAGCACCTAGATTATTTGGATCCTGCTGGAACTGCCAGGCACCTCTTCTCCATTATCACCTGAGAAACCTTCCTCTCAACAATAGATGATTTTAATGCACTTTACTAATGCCCTTATTTTCCTGTTTAATGTACATTAATCCAAGTAACAAAAAATCAATATTGCTAACAACATCTCAAACAAATCCTAGTCCAACTCACACAAAACGTCCTCTGATTTTCAGTTCCTCCTACCCCCTTGGATTTTGTTATTCTCTTTTAACCAACCAGTAGCTTCTGGCTACTCTGAACATCAGTGGTGACTTTCACTAGACCTTCTCCGAAAGCCTTCTCCCCATCATATGTGTGATATGCCAGGAGAAGGTAGTCACCGCTCCTGGGGCCATTTCAGGGTCCCAGGATTCTTTACACTTGTCCTTCTGGCTCCAGCAAAAGCCAAAAATCATAGGACAATGTCCTGGTTTGTTTTCTCTCCCAGACAAAACCCCAGGAGTGGTAGCTTTCAACATCTTCCCAGGGTGGAGAACCCCACATTCAGCTCTTCTGTCGCTTTGTCCCTACCATAGCTACCAGAAACTGATCCCAGCTGGTGGTTCTTATTGGGAGTTTATGATTCTTATTATAATAATCACTATTAAAACTGGTGTTTTCCACCTGGAAGGAACAAAGTAGAGGCTCGGTTAATGTAGGAACTTAGGTTTGCAAAACACCGTGAATAATTTAGTATTGTATTTCAAGGGAAAAAAATAGCTTTCTTAAATCGTCTCCGCAATATAAATTGCAGACTTACAGTATGGTCCTGGTAAGTCTAAATTTTTAAAGGAGCAATATTCAAAGAGACATAGATGTCTGTATTAATTATTTATTCGCCGGTGCCTTCCTTCGTTTCTGACTTATTATTAATTAGGCGCCTCTAGTCTTTCTCAGAGCGCTCCACTGAGCCGGTTGCAGCTTTAAATATGAATTAAAAGCAAATCCAAGCTACTGTAATGCGAAAATTATTCCGTGTCTTGCATGGCAGAGATGAATAGCTGCGTGGATCAATACCGTGAAACTCGGCTCCCAACGACAGGGTTATTGATAGCTTGTAGTAATGACATTAATGACGGAAAAAGGGAAATAAGGGCCCACCTGACTTAGAAACTTTTTAGCCGCTGAGACCCCGCAATAAAAACGGGAAGGGGGCAGGAATTGGGCTTAAGTGTAAGAAGAAAATTATTTATGAAACCGGATAAATGACTTCGGAACGCTCTTGGCTCCTGGCGGCCCTGGCTCCAGCAAGGGAGACCGCGAAAACCCCAAGCCGCAGAAAGCTGGGGGTCGGGGGCACTACAGCATCCTCAGCGGCCTCGGGTTAGCAGCCCCTCTGCCCGCTCCCAGCGGGAGAGCCCTCTGGGGGCGCGGGTGGCAGAGGCTTCTGGAAGCTGGTGGAAGGTGACTGGCGCAAGGCCGGTCCCTGCTGTACCGGCGGGATGCGAAGCCGGATTCCTGTGGCCCAGAGACCAGGACTTTAACCTGGTTTTCGTCTCTGATTTTCCTGGCACCGGTCCCCTCAGGAAGGTCAAAGGCTTTGACCTTGCGGGGGACCAGGGTCTGGCTGGGCGCTGGTGCTTAGCACGCAGCTTGCCAAGGCCCAAGGGATGCCCCCAAACTCAAGCCTGTGGCCGGCGCGAGTGGGAGAGAGAGGGCCTTGTAGGAAGAAGACTGTTCCAGGTCGGGCAGTCTGTTCCAGAGACTCCGGAACCGCTCCCTCTTCCCCGGTGCATCGATGGCTTTCTACCCAGCCAGCATGAAGAGCGGACCCCGCTCGGGTCTGTGCCCGCCTCGGGGAACCTGGTCCTGCAATTCTCCTCCTCCGGCCCACTATCAACCCCCTCTTCCTTTCCTCACTGCGAGGGAGGAGGGCGCAGAGCCGGGAAGGAAAGGTTACATCCTGACCCTGGAGGACTGCAGGAAAGGTCAGCGCCCGAGGGTCAATCGCAAGCTCGAGGTCCCCTCCCCCTCAGCTGGGCACAGAGCAGCCGGCTCCCCTCCCCCAGCCCGGACGCGGGTCGTTGGGGGCGGAGGTAGGGGTGACCTCCGCAGCTCTGGGGGGACCGCGGGCCAGGCTGGCTGCGGTTCTGGTGCATCTTGACTTCAGTCTTTTTGGGTTCGAGTAGAAAGTTGGGGGCGATTGCTCTGTTTGCCTAAACAGATGAGAAGTAGTCGGAGCAGCGGAGTGGAGATGGAAGAAGGGGTCAGGTAGTCAAGTCAGTTCATAGGGGCAGTCACAGTTTTTGTTCGGGTTTTTTTTTCTCTATTAAGGTCTCTTAAGATTATCCCCCCTCCCCAGTTCCCCTCTCTTCCCCCCCCTCACCCTCCTTTTCCCCTTTCCTTCCACCACCCTACTTTACCTGCTTCTGATCCCTCCCTTAAGGTTCTCCCTTCAATTTCCTCCCTTCCCTCCCTTCAGTCTCTCTCCACTTCACCCCACTTACTTCTGTTTCTTTTCTTTTTTCTGCTCCTTGACCAATTCTTGTTCACTACCTCAATCTTTCTTCACCCCCCACCCTTCTCCCGTAGGAGTCTGCTGCAAGCCTCTGCACCTCCAGACTCTCACAGGAGAGGTGCCAGCCCCATTTGGCACCAACACCAACCAATTCTAGATTTGAAAAATGTGCAGCAGGTTATTAAAGGGGCACTGGGAGGTCTGTGGGTCCTGTGCTGAGCCACATTGGGAAGGGGAGTGTCATCTGCCTTGCTAATGCCCCACAGTGCCATTCGGACCCCATGACATCTGAAAGACTTTTGAGTGGCTTTTATTTTTACTTATTTGAATTTTATCAATTAAATATATGAATCTCAGAGACCATAACCACTGAAATCAGCAGCTGTACCTTAGCTCTGTCTTAGGGTACCAGGGGTGGCTTAGAGGAAGCCATTCTCTGGATAATTAGACAAAACCCAAACTTCTCACCAAGGAAAAAAAAATCTCATCTTGGTTATCTGGTTTCAAAGTCCACAACCAAGTGAGTGTTCAAAGCAGCACCCACCACAGGCAGTGGTGCATAGACCCTACCTCATCCCCACATGATCTCTAGGCAAAGGCCCTTTATAGAAAAGAACAACAAACACTGAAAAAAAAATCACTTGATCCTGGAAAAAATCAATATCAAAATTAAATTTATTGTCTGCTTATGTGATTAAAAATGACAAAGTGTTGGCTTTTATTTTCATAAAAAGACAGAAGGCTGAACAAAATAATTTGCTATTGAGTTCTGTTTGTTTCATTTGCCTGGCAAAACACAGAGGAAGCCAGCTGATAGGGCAGTTGGGAAGTGGGATGCCACAGTCCAGGCCCCTGAGGAGATGTGAGGGTCTTCCTAGTCAGGACATGATTGCTGTTATGCATGCCAGGAGAAGAAATTTCCTAAGCTCTAATAGTCTGCAGCAACTCAGACCATCAGAGGTGTTCTCAGCTCTGCCTTGCTCCCAACAAAATGCTGGGTGATCCTAACTTGACCTCTAACTCAGGTCTCATGTCTTGTTTCCCTAGGTAATTTTCAGATGCCGGAACTCCAGCAGCACCAGGAGCCAGCCACCCGATCCAATCCCCCACCTAGCCTTCAATCTTAGGACCCTCTCTCTTTCTCTTTCTGTCTCCCATCCTCCCTCTCCCACCCCACTCTTTGGTGTGTGTGTGTGTGTGTGTGTGTGTGTGTGTGTATTTTCCTGGCTTTCAGAGCCTGGCTGGAATCGGGAGAATGGGTTTTTCCACATCAGCCTGGACTGAATTCTTTAAATATAGTGGTGGTGTATATGTTTAAGGAATGTACTACAATGACCACATAACCCCTGAGGTTATTTATCTACATTAAAACGAAGGAAGGAAGGAAGGAAGGAAGGAAAGAAGGAAAGAAGAAAGGATCCACAGTGTATCTCTCTTCACACTCCCCATCATCCTCAAGCGGAGTCAGAATCCATCAGGAGTCTGTCCACAGCTCGAGGCGCATGCTGTCTGCAATGCCCACTCCTACCCCATCCACTGCCTCCTTCTGGAACACTGTGGCTTTCTTGACTGTGGCTTCACACACACACTTAACAGCATAATTAGGAAAAAAAAATCTACTCAGCCAGGTCCCTTGTAGCCCTTAATTGAGCCTTAGGATTTGGAGGCAGAGCTTGTTTGGTGGCGGCATGTACTGGGACTCATTTCTAAAGTGCTTCATCGCACCTCTGTTTCTGTTGTGGAAACCAGCCTAGAGGGTTTATCTCCTGGTAGTTGTAGAAATGAAACTAGTCACCCATCTCTTCCGTAAACCCTATAGATGCATGGCTCCTCCAAGGTAGTCCTGGTTCTCCATTAGGTTCAGGGCTGAAGAAAGGCATGGATCAACTTGCTCCTTGGAAGTCTGACAGGCTCTGAGGTCTGGTCTGGCTGGACTTGCTCTTTTTTCCAATTAGGGTGACTTTCTCCAAGGTGGAGGCAGTGAGGAGATGAGGTGTGGGTCCCTCACTGGGCCAAGAAGATGGATGACAGCCTGCAGCAGGATAAGGCCTTGGGATGTTTCCAGCTATGGCAGTGCTATCAGCTCTTTGCAACTGGAAGGCAGACTTCCTAGAGGAACACACTTGGTTTCTCCCACTGACCTCCAAGGGTCCTCTCTCCAGCCTCTTTTCTGAACAGCCTCCCCCCAATTTCTAGCCTCTAGCAACCCTGAGCTGTGGGTTCCAGGGTCAAAGGTCAGGCCTCCTTTAGGTATGGGCTTCCTCCTCATGTCCTTGGGCACTAAAGTTGTGGCACTTGTTAAGGAGTCTAGGTGCCCACTGCTAAGTTACAGTCAGACTTAGACTTTAGACTTCACCTCCCACCATAGTAGATCTACAATGCTGGGAGTGGGTTGCGATTTGAACTGATAGTCAAATCACAAAGTAAAAAATCTAGTGTTTTCTTTTTCGAGTTGGGGTGGTTTTAGTGATTTCTTTGTGTCACTCTTGGAGGGGCTTTGACCAAAAGCCTGAGAAGCCGTCTTCTATTGTTTTATTTCCTTGCCCAGCCTGGCCAGAGCCAGAAAGAAGTTGCCAGAAGAGGTGCAGAAAGACAAACGAATACCCGGCCTTCCAAGTAAGCAGTTTAGTTCCACAGGGGCTGACCTTTTGCCTGAATAGGAGCAAGGCCATGAGAGTGAAAAGCAGGTTTGTATGCATGCCCACGTGGCCCCATGCCACCAACATGTCCCTATCAACTCCTGGAGGCCAGGGCTGAATTTACTCTTCTTAGGTACAGAGCTGTCCTCGGCCTCCCTCGGCTCTGAGCATGGAGCAGCCAGGAGTTTAGCATTCTCTCTCCAATGAAAGCCATGGTCAATAGAATTCTGGGTATCAAATGAGCAATAATTTGCTGTGGCTACATGCTGGATAATGAAAGATGTTATTGGGATCAATAAAAAATGAAAACACTTTTACTTACATCTTGAGTTACTGTTTTAGGAGATTGAGAGACGAAACCAACCCAAAGCTGAGTTCAGGGCCTCCCAAGACTGTCCTCAGAGCTTCAGGACTTCATCACCATCTGATTGGCCTTTCCAGAATCCCGGCTTCTGTATCCTCCCGTGGTGACAGGAGAGTAGACTATTTGCATTAAATTAGTTCCATAAAACCCAGTAATAACTTAATTGTCTACGTGTTTTCTCTCCCCCAAACGCAAATTTAAAATAGATTTCCCCCAGAATTAAAGGTCCCCTAACTAGTTGTAATTTACTGAAAATGTGTGTGTCTCTAAGTGGAACTGTCTTTTGTCTTTTGGCAGACTGGAAGCACTGATGGAGAAGGCTGTGGGCAGGCCGTGGACTTTGGTTAGACACACAGGGTCAAGGGAATGTACTTAATTCTTTTGGCTTCGTTTTTTTTTTTTTTTTTTTTTTTTCGTGTTTTTTTTTTTTTTTTTTTTTTTTTTTTTGAGTCTGAAAAGTTGTTGCTAACTCGCTTTTTCCACACAAGTTAATCATGCGCACCTTTTCATAGTGGGTTCATTTGTTCAATTTGTTTTTCAATTTGTATTGGACTTATTCGTCACAACTGGTTTGCTTTTTCCCCCATTCAATCTCAAACACACTTTTACTTATTTGGTTGTCAAAAAATCTGCTGTGAAATGAGAAACAGTTTGCATTTTTAAAAGATACCAAGATTTAAAAAAAATGAGACCACCTCGTGTGTTCTGCCTAAAACAGGCACCAGGAAGTTCCCTGCCAGTTCCCATCTCAGAAATAATATGAGAATATTTGAGCCTTGAGCGTGGTAGCACAGAATTCAACCCCAGTACTCAGAAGGCAGAGGCAGGTGGATCTCATAGAGATCTAGGCCATCCTGGTACACACGGTGAGTTCCAGGTCAGCCGGGGCTATACTGAAACCCTGTCTAAAAAAAAAAAAACCAAAAGAAAAAAAAAAAAAGGAAATGTGTGTTTGGCTGTTTCTATGAATTAAAGAACATACTTTCCCCCCTCAGCGCTTAACAAACAAAACACAATTTTAGTCGCCGCTGAAGTGCGCCCTGGGAGGACAAGGTGGTTGTACCACCGACCTAACTAATCCTGGCCTCAAGGTCAGAGACCTGGTTCATTCTCGCAGGCTTTGTTGGGTAAGACTCGGAGGGACCACGGAGTAACTCAGGTGCTATACAAACCGAGAACTAGACCAGGGCACAGACAGATTCGTTTGGGGAGTTCCGCGAAGTGGATCCCGCTGGCCCGGCTGGTACAAAGCGCACAAAGCAGGTGCGCAGGCCACCGCCGGCTGCCTGGGACGTACGAGCCGAGCTCAGCCGCGCTCTCGTGTGTCTGCCGCCCCCGCAGGGCACTCCTGCGTTATTTACACCTGGCTCCAAGGCCAGGCTCTCCGCTCTCATTTGCTACCTTAACGTCGCGGGGAGGACCTGTTAGCCTGGGTGGCGGGCGGGCAGGCTGGGAGGGGGCGCCCCCTCTCCCTTCTCGGACGAGTTGCGGCCTCTACCCTCGGTCCGGGTTCCCACCCTGTTCGCGTGGCCACGACCTCAGCGGTAGACCCGCAAGGCCGGCCCAGGCGCACCTGCCCTTCTCCTCCCACCGCCGCGTGGACTTGGGAGGCTGGCTTACCCCAGTGGGCGAGTCCCCGAGCATTAGAGGATTTCACAGCAAGTTGCTTCTGACAAGAGATCAGTTTTCAGCGGCTCCTAGGTGGGGGGTTAGGGGGATGGGAGAGGGAGAAGAGAGTCAATTTGCATAATTTCAAATGAGAGCTCCGGAAATGAAGAGCTTAATTTTGTCTCCACCCCCACCCCCACCATAAATCGACCCTCGCCCTCCCGGTGCAGAATAGGAAAAACTAACCAGGGCACGTCTGTAGGTACCTTTCGTTGCGTTTCTTTTAAAGGAAGACCGCCACTTTCTCCAAAGCCCGGCCTGAGGCAGGTGGGGCCATCCTGGGCCTGCGGATTCCGGCAAGGTCGTGGGTTTAGGGGCGCGGGGAAGAAAGCACACGGGCGGGGCGCCCCGCGGTCCCTCAACGCCCAGGGTCTAAGCCCGGCGCACAACCCCAAGTACCCTCCAGTCCTCGGCTCCATCTTTGAGTCCGGGTAAAGATCAATTTCCTCCCTCGCTCGCGCGCTCGCTAGCTAGCACGCACACATTTGCAGCCATAAATAAACAGCTCCCAGCTAATTCAGGAACCAAAGAGAGGGAGAAATAAAGCGGGCTGAGAACCGGAGCGGTGGTCTCGCCTCTCTCGCGCGTGCAGTGGCTCCTTTTGGTCGGGCCAGCCTAGCATTAGGGGACGCAACTTGAATTTGAATAGCTGCCTAGGCGTGTTAGGGACCCGAGAAAGCTCTGAAAGGGAATCGCTATGCAAATTGTCCCAGTTACAATCGAAGGTTCGATCTCCCGGAGCTGCTAGACGGAAGTTGATGTCAGCTATCTGTGCATTAGGGTTGCTTTACCGCCTTCGTGGGCCTCCTTGTCTACCCCCCCGCCCCGTGCCTGCTGGGAGGTTATTTTATTTTTTCTTTTTGCTTATGTGTATATTTCCCCCTAGTAATTAAAAAAGAAAAGCAGCATGAAAAAAAGGCGGAAGGTGGCGGTGTAGCTGGCTCAGGCCCGTGAGTCCCAAGGGCGGCTCCAGGAGGGAGGCTTGGTCATTTTTTTGCTGCAAGTGTTAATGGTGTGTCTGAAATCAAACATTTAGAAGCGTTTATTTTAGTGCTTTGCAGGACAAGAAGGTGGTGTGTGTGCGTATGTGTGTGTGTGTGTGTGTGTGTGTGTGTGGTGGCTGGGCGGCGATGTCTGCCGCAGTCAGTCGGCTTTATCCTACAATGCAGGCTGCGGATCAATACCCGCTCACTGCAATCCCAGTAATTGTAGAGCTCGCAGCTTTTATTTTAAAGAAATAGGACGCTAGCGCACTGGCGAGCGGCTGGAGCAGTCCGGTTGGGCTGTGGTGCCTTGGGGGGGGGTCTTTGGGGATATAGATGTAGATACAGATACACATATAGATATACATATCGATATACAAAAGCAGGGAGCTCCCACAGCTGGGTGGCAGCGGATTGCAGCACTTGTGTCCTCCCAGGATGTGCTGCCAACCAGCTAGGCCCGCGTGGCCTCGGTCTGCGGAAGGCGGTGGAGAGGCCGGCGGGCAGGCGGCTGGGTCCTTCCCTTTCCTGGTCTGGCCACCCGGCCTGAGCCTCTTGGCCCTGGGCTCTGAGTTTGGATGCGGACATCCCGGACTTTGTGGATGGGGTGAGGGACAACAAGAACGTTAGATAACTTCCCCCAAATGGAGAGATTTTGTCCCTTTCTGCCTTTTCCTAGGGCCAGAGGCCTGGCCAAGCCTGGACGGAATTGGACTTCCCACTTGGCGGGCAGGCGGGCAGGCAGGCAGGGGCGCTAGGACCCGGCGAAGCGGTCCCCAGGCGGCGGCCTCCCCCTGGAGCTCAGGGCCCCCAGCAGCCCACCGACCCCCGGCACCGCAGGCCCTGCTGGACGCCCGCCCCCGGCAGGCGGAACCCAGGCAGGAACGCCGGGCTTGAGCCCTGCCGCTGGCAGCCAGCAGCTTCTGGCGCCCCCCGAAAATGACCATCTGTCATTCAATTAAGGTTTCAGGGCAGCTGATGGGGGAGAGAGGGTCAGCGACCCCAGGACAAAACGGCCTGCTGCCTCGGATAGGAGAAGTTCAAATGTTAAACGCAGAACATTGTGTCCTGTCCCAGTCCCGGCCCCCACCGGTGGACACCCCCCACAGGTCCGGCCGGTGGACAGCAGCGGGGTGAAGGGCAGCGGTCATTAGACTTAGATTTCAGCTCTGGGCCAGGCCCCTTCTGTTGGGCTATTTTGACCAGGGAACCTTTAACCCTTTCCCGCCAGTCCTCCCCCTAGGGTCGGACAGATTGTCAGAGAGAGAGAGAGAGAGAGAGAGAGAGAAAGAACAATCTCCATAAAAGGAGAGAACCTGAACACCTCATTCACTGCCGAGAGGAGAGAGAGAGAGAGAGAGAGAGAGAGAGAGAGAGACTGGTCACTAATCTGCAAGAAGTGCAAACGACATACCTAGAAGAAAAATATGGTTCTTCATTCCCAGAATTAACTCAAGCATCTTCCTAAACTCTTGTGTTTTAAAAGTTTTAGTTTTGGGGAAGAGATATATTTATTAAATGATCCTGGAACTGCCAGACCAGTGTATATGTGTGTGTGTGTGTGGGGGGGGTGATGGTGGTAGTGGGGTGATGTTGGTGTAAAATTGTACACTTTGCTCTATAAAGGTGCTTACCCAAATGTGGGTGAGTGGGGATTAGCTTCAGGTAGCTAGACTGCCCCTTATGAGGCTGGTGAGACTTTTGTAGTCAGTTGAAAAAAAGATCAGTTGCCTTTCTTTTTTTTTTTTTCAGTCTTTCCCACAGTAAAATGTGATTAAAAAAAAATAGTTGTTAGGTCTGGAGAGATGGCTCAGCAGTTAAGAACCTATTTCTATTCCCAGCACCCACCTCATGACTCACAACCATCTGTGACTCTAGTTTCTGGGGATCTGATGCCCTCTTCTGGCCTCTGCAGCCACTGCACACATGTGGTACATATACATACATGCAGATGAAACAGCCATCTGCTTAGCAGTTTCAGTGGGAGATACAACTCTTCTTAGTTGCTAACCTGGAGGCCTAAAAACAGCTATTAGCAAGGCACCATTGCAAGGTGGAGAAATATCTAGGTCCTTCAGCAACCTGGTTAGTAACAGAGTCCAGGACTTCTAGCTTCTAGTCCCCAGTTCTCAGAATGAAACCTAACCCCTACTTTTTGGAAGTAACTATCAAGCAATCAATTAATCAATCAGGCATTGAGCATTGAAGCACCTTAGCAAATTTTTCATCGGGTCACAATGAATAATGCATGGCCCTGCAGAATATTGACTGTGGTAAATGATCTTTAAGGTAAGGTGCAGCAACAAGTACCTTTAAATAAAATCAAAATAAAAAGTTTACCACAATCATAATAAATTGTTCAGTCATCTTCCTATTGACCCACATAGCATCTTTCTTCAGGAGCATTTGGAGTTATTTTCCCCCCACCTTACAAACAGACCAGAACAAATTGATGAATTGCGCTTTCACTATGCTAATTTAGACATTATAAATATTTAATTAACATCCCTAATAGCCAGTCATAGAGGGCCTCTGCTTTACTTTACACTCTTCTTAATCTAAAGTAAATGCTTTTCCCATTAATAGCCTGATGCCATCTTAGCAGCTTTCTCAGTAAAAGGGGTCCAGTTAGCCTAAAGGAGGGGGACACCAAACACTCTGCACCAGGCAGGGGTTTGTTCCCATTTGTTTGTAGAGGATCCTTGGAACAGTGTCATCTCTGAACAAATAC